ACAATGTGAGTGGAAAGTAAGCCTTATATACCTGAGTGCATCCTATTATCTCTGCTCATCTATTGTTGTGATCTATTCCATAGAAATAATCATTTTTATTATTTACCTAAATAAATGCTTGCTTGCTTGCTTGCTTGCTTGCTTGCTTGCGCGCACACACACACACACACACACACACACACACACACACACACACACAGAGGCAGCAACACGGTGAGGAGAATAAAAAGCCTGTGCTATAAATGCTTGGCAGATTTAACAATTAAAAAAAAACCTCTCACTGTATTTTAGACATCTTTAATACTTAAATAAAATATTTTTATTCTTTGGTAATTTTATATACATAAACAATGAATCTTGACATATGTTCCTCCAACTTCCCCCTCCCCCAGGGACCCCCAACATGTCCCCTTGCCTCTATTATGTCCTCAGTTTTTAATAACCCAATTAGTTCTGCCTGTTGAAATGCTGACTGATCTTGGTGACTTATCTTGCACAGGTAACCATAGCTACAGTGAGTTCACAGGCGTAGTAGCCAGGTCTTGTCCCCAGGCAGCATTTTACAGTACTCCTCCCCATCTTCCAGCTCTCATATTCCTTGGTCCCCTCTTCTGCATGTTCCCTGAGTCAGACATTCATTCTCATCACATGGATCTGCTACAAAGTATTTTGTGGCATAAATGTACATTATGGAAAATATTTAGTCGCTATAAGTCCAATTAAGATTTTTGTATTATTCTGTATATATGTTACAAGTATTAAAGTAGGGCCATTTTTAGCTATGAATCACTCGCAGGGCTTTTTGTATTGCATTTTTTTGTATTGCAATTTTAAAAATAGGAATTGATAAATTTCCTTTCAAATATTTTTAAAAGTGCCTAAAATCCCACATTTTGTCAAGTGTATAACAGAAGTTTTGGACTTTGCTGGCCAGATGTGAAATACCTCAGTGAAGTCTACTTTGTATAATGGAAGGCTCTTAAAATTTCTTTTCACCGAGATGTTGTCTATAAAATTTATCCTTAGTTTGTGCTAATGAAACCTCCTGATTTCTCTTACTCTGCCATCTAGTAAGTTTTGGCCCAGAGGCCTATCTACCTAGGCCTACTAATGTAAATTCTTCAAAGAAAGGTCAATATGAGAAACAAAAATAGAGTAGTTTGTGAGGGTCTAGATTTTAGAGAAATACATTGGGATGTGGTGTGGGTGCAGACATTTGCGCCTCCCTTTTCCCTCTTGCTTAAGACACACTTTCCAGATCCAGGGAAGCGTACAGAGCCGCTATCTGGATAGGAACTGCTCAGTCATTCCCCCCACAAGATGTGAATCCTCTTAGTTTTACCATCCGGAGATTGAGGGCACTCTATTAGAGGGTAATATTTAGTCCCTTGCTGCCGTTCTAATTCTACACTGCTATGGTCATTTAACTTCTGGGTTGGCAAATAGGCTACCGCTGTTGTCAGGGCTGTAGGAAGATGCGGAATTTGCCGCAGAAGACATTCTTCTTCCAAGCAGGATAATGGAAAGAAAGACGCATTTCAAAACCTAATAGAGACGTTGCTCTGCAGCTTCGTGCTCCCTTGACCGGGAGTTAGGACACAGGTTCTTTCAATTTATTATCTAGAGATGAAATTAGCCATCGGGAAAGCAGTGGTGTTAAATGCCTAGTGAAATAGCCTCCAACAGCGGCAGGCTACCTTGTTTTGCAAGTGCGAAGGAAGCCGATGAAATGAGCCCATCTAGACCCTTGGCCGGTGCATTCGAGGCGTGGCTGCCGGGACATCTCTGGACCCCCTTGTCCTCGGTCTTCAGATGCGAAACTGCAGGGTGGTTGTGATCTGGGCTAGGGCGGGGGCTTTGCCGCAGTCTCTAGACTTCAGTCCTTGGCCAGGACCCAGGGATGGAATCCCTGCCCCTCGGGCTGTCCTCGTGACCCTGGGCTCCTTGGTTGCCTGCGGCACCCAGCCCTGGTTGAGCCGAAAACGGAACCTATCTTAAGTGCTCAGGGACCAGGGAATGTGACGTCACGAAAACACAAATCTAGCGGGGAGAGTAGGTTGAAGAGACAGTTGAGGAGACTGGGGGGGACCCACTCGGGAACTTCCCCTTAGGGCTGCCTGGCTAAGGGGTGGCGGCTGGAGTGGGGAGGGACCTCGCGCTGGCCTTGGAGCGGGACTCCCTGATCTCCACCGTTCAGTTCAGGGCGTCGGAGCGTCGCTGGTCTGTGGGTTTTCGCGGGCGCTTTTGCGAACGTCCACAGAAAAAGTAAACTGGACAGAAGCGCCGCAGAACCAGGACGCGCCCCTCGCGGCCCCGGAGCCGCCCTCCGACCCTGGAGGGCTTAGGGACCCGGCGCCCTAGAGAGAGCATGGGTAGGGGGGCGGCTACGAGCGTCTGCCCCGCCCCGCCCCTCACTGGCCACGCCTCGGTTAGCCCCGCCTCCTTTGTGCGGCCGCGCCGTTGCCCGGGCGACGGCCCCGCCCCTCCCGGCCCCGCCCCTCGCCACCGCCCCTGTCTCCGCCCGGCGGCCGGTCCAGCTGCAGTCCGCGCGAGCCGCCGCCGCAGCCGGCAGCCGGGCGAGATTCGCGGCTCCCGGGGCCCTCGGAGGGAACAACCGCACTCTCCCGCGCCCGTGCTTTCGCCCGAGCCGGCCCGTCCCTCGCCGCTGACCGGATCTGGCTGACCAGCTTGCCCTCCGGTCGGACCTGAGGCTCCCCGGCCGCCGCGGGGACCCGCCCACCAGTCCCTGCCGGGGCCCGCTGTGCCTGTGGGGACTCCACGGTTGATGACACCCGGCGGAGGGCTGCGATGGAAGGGGATGCCTCAGACTCTCAGGTGCGCGGCGGCCCCGCTTCCTCTCCGCCGTCTCTCCGGGCCGGTCCCGGTCCCACCGTCCCGCGCCTTTTGCTGCCCTTGAGAGAGGGTCGAGCTTGGGGTCCCACGGGCGGGTCCGGGTCCGGCGCACCTGGCCGCGCTGTGGACTCCCCACGGCGGGCTCTTCCGTGGGGTTCAGTCCGCAGAAGTAGTCGCTCTGGGGCGCCTTGTGCGCTGGAGAGTAGGGCGCGTGCCCCCAGCGTGCCCACGCCCTTTGTCTGGAGCCCCGAGGGGCGCTCGAGTCCCTCCTGGACCCCGGCTGTGCCTGCAGCCCGCTGGGAGCCGAGTCTCCGGCTCGCTGGGCGGGGCCGGGGCCCCTGCGGCGGTGCGGTCCCAGCCTTTTCTTTGCGGAGGTCGGGGAGGCGCGTCCCCTAAGTTTCCTCTGCTTGAGTGAGCTATCAAATCACATTTTCCTGGTTTTAGCTCGGACATAAAAAAGAAGACACTGATTTTTCTTTTTAAGAATTACTTTATATCCAGCGTAATCAAATGATTTAGGCGCAAGAAAAAAAAAGTGGAAATGATTTTTAGATATTCCTCTAGGAGGTGCAGCTTTACTGATGGTATTGTTTATACGTTAAACGGGACAAGAATCTATTTTGGGCAGTCAGGACGGTTTTTTCCCCTCCCTTTGAATTAGCGAGATACTGGGTAAAGTAAGATAAAATGGGAGTAATCTTTGGTGTGCGTTGTAGGTGTGGCCGTCTTATTTCCAGGTTCGTTAAAGTCGAGAATGCTGTGGGCCTTTAAAAAAAAGAGACACTGCATTAAAGATCTGCTGTCAGTGAGGAAGCCAGTTGTTTGTGGTGCGATTATCGGGGCTTATTAAAGCCCTTTGTGTCACCAGCGGGGAAGTAGATTAGCATACACTTTTCTTTCATTAAAACGAGTGAATTAAATTTTACTTTCTGAGCACTTTTTAACCGAGCACTCAGGAGTCAGAGCCAGGTGGGGCTCCGAGTTCGAGGACAGTCAGGGCTACACGGGGAAACTGTCATGAAAAACCAAAACCAAAACCAAACAACCAAAAACTTTCTGTATATTTCTAATAGATGAAATGATTGTATAAGATTTTTTTAAAACAAAATATTGGCTTGTCATTAAAATTTCAGGATGCCAACAGTAACCTATAGAAATTGAAAAGCCCCCCCCCCCAGTTATAAAAAAAAAAAACCTATAGGTGATAGATGGGAAAACTGTATGAAGTCATCAAACCTTTTTATCTTTGAGCCTAAAGTGTTTCTCACAATGGTGAAATAATGAGTTCCTATAGATTTGAAGGAAGCTCTCAGGATGGTAAGACCCTTTTAATATTGTGCTTTCGTGATAACTGCTTTGACATGGAGCATAGAGCCTGAAGCGTTGTAGCAGCATGGCAGGAAAGCACATGAAACATGGTTACATTTAATGTAGACATTTTCCGATACTCAGCTTGTAAATAGAATTCAGTTAGGATTTCCTGAACACACTGGCTTAGCCTGGGTGTTTATTTTTGTCAGCTCTTGCTAGTTGGCAATCTTGGAGTTAATGCATTAAGTAAGAATGGTTAGTGTCATAGTGAAACTTTTTTTTAACTGAAACTTACCACATTTAGAATTTCACTGGAGTCCTAAGTCAGGGACTTGTTCCTGATGATTTGAACAGCCTGCAGTTTTGATAGGGCATGATCCTCTAATATTTTTATATTAACCTTTTCTCTTACATTTTACTTTCTTTTGTCTTGTAACATCAGTTTTTAACCCCATGCCATGTATATTAAGGGGAGTCTGGTGGTATAGAATTTCATAGCTGTGGTAGTTTGAATAGATATGGCCCCCATAGAACCACGTGTTTGAATGCTTGGCCCTAAGGAGTGGCACACTAATAGGTGTGCCCTTATTGGAGGAAGTGTGTCACTGTGGAGGCGGGCTTTGATGTCTCATATGAGCTCAAGTCACGCCCAGTGTGAAAGTTCATTTCCTGTTGCCTGCTGATCTAGATGTAGAATTCTCATTTCCTTCTTCAGCACCATGTCTGTCCCTGCCATCAAGACCATGGACTACCTCTCGGAAACTGTAAGCCAGACCCAATTAAAAATTTTCCTTTATAAGAATTGCCATGGTCATGATGTCTCTTCCCAGAGCAATGGAAACCCTAACTAAGGCAGAAGTCATTAGGGAAGTTTAGATTTTGGGGTCTGTTTCTTAATTCTTTTTTGGAAAAGCAAACACATATGTACACAAGACATGCTGACACATTTACCCACTAAGAGTTTTTGACTCTGGCTTTTGCTTTTCATCTTAAGGTGACTATTAAGAATATCGAAAAGGAGCTTATTTGCCCAGCATGCAAGGAGCTGTTTACACACCCGTTGATTCTCCCTTGCCAGCACAGCGTCTGTCATAAGTGTGTGAAAGAACTCTTACTGTCTCTCGATGATTCATTCAATGATGTGGCATCAGACAACTCCAATCAGAGCAGCCCTCGACTTCGGCTCACCTCCCCTAGCATGGATAAAATTGACAAAATTAGCAGACCAGGTATGTGGGAAAAGCTTGGGTAGGGAGAGCTTGTAGATAGACGTTCAGCTATAACTGTGGAGGGAAATTGTTGGTATTTTTTCCCCAAGTGAACAAGTTACGACTAGCCCCCTTTAAAATGTCAAAATGAACTGTTGTTTTTTTGATAGGCACTTAAGATGGATATTGAATACTAATTTTATGCTAAACTGCTTATTATCTGTGTCTTTATTTCAGGTGATATTCTAACTCTGTAATGTCCTTGATAATGGTAGAATAATGAATGATTGAACTACTAGGGAAGAATCTATCAAGTTAATGTGCAAATAAATATTTCAGAATTAAGAATGGGAGGGACTAAGCCGGGCGGTGGTGGCACACGCCTTTAATCCCAGCACTCGGGAGGCAGAGCCAGGCGGATCTCTGGGAGTTCGAGGCCAGCCTGGGCTACCAAGTGAGTCCCAGAAAAGACGCAAAGCTACACAGAGAAACCCTGTCTCGAAAAACCAAAAAAAAAAAAAGAATGGGAGGGACTACATAATGGTTACATCTAAAAACTTTATCTTTTGAGTTTACTTAGTTTTATTTTATGTGTGTGTTTCAATGTATGTCTGTGCACCATGTGTCTGCAGTATCTGCTAAAGCCAGAAGATGGTGTCAGATCCCCTGGGTCTGGAGTTATAGTTGGTTGTGAACCATCATGTGGAAGCTGGGAATCAAACGCAGGTCCTCTGGAAGAGCAGCCAGTGCTCTTAACTGCTGAGCCATTTCTCCAGCCCTTAGAGAACTTTTAGATCAGATCAGATCATGTGGTATCACTCTACTTGAGAATTTTATTTTCTTCAATCACTTGAAATTCTCTTTTTTAAATAAGTGTTTTGGCAGGGCATGTTGGCACATGTCTGTATACCAGCCCATGGTGGGTGGAGGGAGAAGGATCTGTGATTTCAAGGACACCCTGGGGATGCGTGAGAACCTGCCTACTCCCCAAAATAAGGGTTCTGACGCTCATGAGTACTAGAATTCTGCAGTAATGTATGGAAGTAAATCGAATGACACATAGCATGTATTTGGCTGTATTGCACCTCAGCATTTACCTTGTTTCCTACCAAGTTAGCGTTGCCTCTGAACAGTTATTGCAGGGGTGATGTAGATCAAAATTGGCTTAAAATTACAGAAGCTGCTGAAATTCTTTTAAAATCAGTGGTGACCACAGCCTCACATTAAGCATAGCCTTTATACTAAGGAGTGTGTGTGAGTGTCCAGAAGTCCCAGGCTTCAGAGCGTCCACTCTGAGCAGTTTGGGCTTTGAGGTTTCATCTTTAAACCTCTTGTGTACTCTCCTCAGTTTCTCCCACTGATAGGACAGGGGTCACTTTTTAATCTTGTGAGTTTTTCAGAGAAGCATCTCTTTCAAAGCTGCATTTAAAGAGTATTATCTTTGTGGCCTGACTTATGCAATGGAGTCTCTTTGTTCAGTATTTATATCCATGTACCTACTGCATCAGAGTACTTTCATGAGTTATATGTTTTATATACCACACTTCTTTTACACACACATATATATGTATATATCATTTTATATGGATGAGTATTTTGCCTGTGTGTTATGTATGTAGCAATGTGTGTGTTTTGCCTACATGTAATATTTATGTACCACATGTGTGCCCAGTGTCTGAGGAGGTCTGAAAAGAGTGTTTGCAGTCTCTAGGACCAGAGCTACAGATGGTTGTGAACTGCCATGTGGATGCTGGGAATTGAACCTGGGTCTTCTGCAAGAACAATAAGTACTCTTAACTGCTGGGCCATGGGTTTTTCTTTTAATGCCAGTTACTAATTATTAAAAGATTACTTGCACATATAAAATGTGTGCATGTGTGTGCATGTGCGTGCGCATGCGCCAGTGAAGTCAATTGGGCAGATTGAGAGAGTTTGAGGACAGAGAGGGTTATGCTCATAGTAAGGTCATAACTTTTATGTTTTCCTCTTTGCTAGGAATCTGGCACTTTGAGGAACAGAAAGACAGTAATGAGTTGAAGTCATTCTTACCAGATAAAACTTGATGTTTTATTGGTGGGTCTTCACTGGCCAGTTGGGAATCCCCTTCTTGGCTGATTGAGGAAAATTTACTTCTGTGTATTAATATTCAACACAGACAATTAGTGGGATATCTCTGCTCATGACTGGGTTGTGTTCACATACACTTTTCATGAAGTTCTGTGTATTAGGTAATCTTTTCATCTCTGGATTTGACTGATTCTCATGTGCGGTTCATATGAAATTAGAACTGCCAGTGTGTTAGGAGCTTCCCATAGTGAAGCTCTGTCTGTGCTTGGTGCATATTTGTTGAGTGGATGTTGAATGAAGACCTTCTGGTACTAGAGTCAACAGAGCATGCCACCAGGACTGAAGTGTAATGTGGTTAAACTTGTTTTGTTTTCAGAACAAGAATTCCATTTCACCCTATACCCCACTGTCTAGATGAGACAGGAAACGACTAAAATATGCCCCCTTCCCATTCTGTAAGATCACTCTGCCGTTGGATCATGTCCTGAGCAGGGCTGAGAATGTTTAAAAACTTCTCTGTGGAGGATAGCCACAGGTGCTGAGAGTGTTTTTGACTTGGAGAAGGATGACTACAGAAAGCTTCCCATCACCGTGGCAAGTGACTCGGCCACCTGTAACTTCAGTACCAGTGGCCCTGACACCTTACTTACACTGGCTCCCTGGGCAGGCAGCCTCCCCACATCCATAGAAATAAAAATCACCCTTAGGCTTGGCAGGTGAGGCTGTCCCAGATGTGGCAATCTCTAAAGGTTTTGTTTGTGAATCGGTGACCACAGGCTTAAGGGCCATCTGCTGTATGGTCACAAGCTTTAAACAGCCTGGTGTCACTGAATTACAGATGTCCCTTTCATTTATGGGCAAAAATGATAAGGCACACTTACAAAGGAAGTCCAAAACCCTGTTCATAGCAATGGATGTGGGAGGAATATATTTCTAAAAATTACTTTTTACCGTTGATTTTTACTAAAGGGTTAGACCCCAGGCTGTCCAGAATAGTAGACACTAGCTGTGAAATGCTTGAAATAGGACTTTTCTGATTGATATTCTGTAAATATGAAATGCTTATTAGATTTCAGAGGCTTTAGGATAGCACAAATAGAGATTTAAGGCTTTTTGTATTTATTACATTTTGAGGTGATATCTTAGATATAGTAGATTAAATAATATCAGAACTAATTTTACTTTTTCTTAACTTGTATTGTGGCTACTAGAAAATTTAAAAATACGTTGTGCTGTGGCTCATTTATTTCATTGGGATGATATTGCCATATACATTTAATAGACTTTTTAACTAAGGGGTACTTTGAAAGAATAAGGTTTCTGTGTATATGTCAATTACATGTTCAGGTATGCAAACAGAAAAGCTGTTTTGTTGTATATTTCTGATCATATGTGTGTAATCTTTCCCTCCAATTTGTATTTTCCTGTTATCAGAGATTTTGAATTTTAATAATTTTTTTATAACTTACTTTTTTTTTTTAGTTCAGCAAAAAGTCAAAAGATACTTGAATTTACTTCGTTTTTCTAACAGTTGCCGGAGATGAGGTTGTTTAAAAACACAGATCTGTAGGACAAAGTGTATGTCACTCTAATGCTGCCCAGCAGTGGTGCATCCAAATTCTATAAGATTGATCGACTGTTTTATATTGCTGGCTTTGTAAACACCCTGCCTGTGTGTCAGGAAGAATACATGTTTACTGTTGATTCAATAATCGTATTCTGCAGGACATAGTCAGTGCTTTATCTTTTGTTAACAAGTTGTGAGTATTCTCTTTAGAATGGAATTCTAAATCCAGCTTTCTGTTCATTGTTCACAGCATCACAGCGGAGATCTTTGGGGTGGAGAGGTAGAAAAAGCGCTTTATTGCTTTTGTGGCCGCGGGCAGCGTGGTGTTAGATTTTAATTCTCTTATGTGTCTCGAGATTCTCTAACGCCAGTGGTCAAGTCTTTCAAATTATATAAAAAGTAAACAAATTGTACTGACATGACTTAAAGGTCAACAGGACAACTTCTGATGTTTTTAAGGAGTGTGTGTCCAGACGATTCCTGTACACAACACAATTTTGTTTTTTCATATCTGGTATCTGAAAAATCTTTTTACATTTATGTAGACTAGAATGTAACTTACATGCTGCATTGGCAAGATTAACTAAATATTAAAATTCTTGTCTAAAGTTGTCAATTTTTGTAGTTAGCACGCTCTCTGCATGTTTTATGATATAATGTCTTGTCTTTGTTGTCCATGTTTTAAAGTGTTTCTTTATCATCAGAGTTTTAACATGCAGGTCTTACCCATTTTAGGCTTTTGGAATATGTGATTCTGTGTGAAGCATTCCAGCCTACCTTGTTTTTTTTTTTTTTTTTTTCTTCTTTTCACTCCAGTTGATCTTTAAAGTAAAATTGACTACTTTTTGGTCAAATTCTGGTGATTCTCTTTGGTTAGAGAAATGTTACCCCTTTTCTGTTCCCCTCACTTTCCAGGAAGTCCAACTGGTGGCATCCCACCAGTTGACAAGCAGTAAGAACAGGAAGTTGTTATGGCCGGAATATGGGAGAAGGTACAATTGCAGCAGTTTGGAATGTGCTGCGAGTTGATTCATTTGTTTTTAAATATTTAATATTTAAAAAAATTAGAAATATTTTTAATATTTAAATTTGTCTTTGCATTTATTTTTTTCTCCTTGAAAGTTAGCTGAGAAAACATAGACAGAAATAGCTCTTTTGGTGGATATAAACCACTTTGAAAATACTTTAAATATTTTAAAATTGTGCCTTGATATTGGCTTACTGTGCCTCTGAAGCAAAGATGTGTGAGCTGAGAGTATTTGCATAGTTCACAGATATGGGCTCCACAGTTGTGTGGCTGCTGCTTGGCCAGCATTACTTCCTTAGTCTTCCCAGTCATCATCTGGTTCGTCCCCCTCTCCCTAGATTCTATCAAGTGGTAGAGAAATACTGTGTAAATAGAACTTTCTCTAATGGAGATATTCAGCCCTTTACTATACAGTGTGGTATCCACTAGCCTCAAGTACTCTTAAGAATTTGAACTATGACTAGAGCAATCCAAAAAGTGAAAATTTGATCATCTTAAATTTAAATTTTAATAGCCCTTTGGCCTCATGGCCCTTTAGATAGCACCAACATTGAAAGCTGACTCTATTACATTTTCCTTTTAGTCCATTGTTGTAATTTTTTTTTTCATGAGGCTTTCCAGGATATCCTTAGAGCTGTCATGCTTTCTTTGTTTCTCTGAATATAATATTTTATGAAAATCACAGGAAAGGATGATGCCAGATGAAATGAAAGTTAGCATTCGAAAGATTTGAGAGCCTTATGGGATCCGTTTAGAAAAACAGCCACGATGCCGATTTGAATAAGTTCCCTGAAAATTACTCAGGTCTTAAATTCCACATTTGATCTCATTTAAGAGGTCTAGTGTGATGTTTCATAAAAACTTTTATTTTCACCATAAAATTAAGATAACAGAGGAATACAGAAAAGGAAAGGGAACTTTTTTTTGGACATTTCTAAACATGAAAACAACCAAAATTTGAGTGTCACCAGCATACATGTTAAAGCATGATTTAGTTTTCATGATTAATTTTGTTTCAAATCACTATTTAATTGGCCACAACCTTCATAAAATCTATAATAGGTCATTGTTTTTCACATAGACGACTGAGATTGGTTATTCATTCATTTAAAGGTCCATCATCTAGTTAACTGTAGAAAGAGGTAATTACATGCAAATTTCCATTTGTTTAAACTTGACCACTGCATCATTTGACTTCCAGAACTGTTTGGCTTGTTTTTTTGACAAAAACATTTTCATTGGCATGTGTGTGTTTTGTTTTATTTTTTAATTAGCCTTGCGCTTATTTCATTACATGCCTGCTGTGGTGTGAAACATCTTGGACTGGATTGCATGTTTTTAAAATTACTACAGGAAGTATATGGAGTAGGATTTTCAAGTTTGTGGGAAGTTTCCTTTTATATGATTCATATTTAAAAGTAGTAAGGCTAAAATGTCATTAAATGGAAACATTAAATATTAAAAATACTGTGCATGCTTGTTACATAAGATGCTTTTGAAGTGCAGTGACACTTTGCATGCTATAAAGTCATTATTATAAATAATACTTTGGGCTATCTGTTAAGTTTCACCTGTTGTGACGTCATACCAGGCATCTTTTAAGATATATTTTTTTAGACGACAGTCATTTCAAGGGCAATCCTAAGGTAGTTACTTAAAGACCTTTGTATATTCAAATAGAATATACTGAATTTACCCATTAATTTTTGGTATTGGATACAATACTATGAAAGAAGGCTGGAGATTAAGAAGTTTCTTTGTGTGTTATGGAAGCTATTTTGTGGGCATCTGAGCTTTCATACTCTAAGAAAGGTTGAAGTAAGTATCCATCCACCTGTGTTGAACAGACAGCTGTGCATTTGTCTGAACCAGCAGGTGAGTATGGCAGACTTTGGTTTCCTGACTTATGAAGATCAGAGAGACAACACTGAACAGAAAAATCTAATGTTTAAGGTCATTACTTGTATTTTGTATATTACACAAATCACATGGAATGCATCTTGGCACTGAAGTAAATAATCTTAATGAATTTGTTTCAGGTCCCATGGTTGGTCCTTTTAAAGTTACTAAGTTCCAGGTCTATGAATGAGTTCTTTGCTCTTCTTTAGCTTGCATTCAGTCACCTTCTGGTCTTTGCCACTGAACTTTCCCAGATAAACAGTGCTACAGTGGGAAACAGTGATGGATCTTAGAACTGTGAGCACCTGTTCCTCCGAGCATGTGATGAAAGCCCAGACTACCCAGAAGACACACGTGTGTGTATGTGGACAGCTTGCAGTTTCCAACAGTCGCTGGGGTTGCACTGAGCCTGCTGAGTCATGGGCCCACCTCTGTTTTGTACCCCATTTTTTCCCAGTCAGCTAAGATGGTCTTATTCACTTTATGACTTTGGGGATGATGTATAAAATTAACTAGAAGTTTAGTTATATAAAATACTGTATTAGATGGTTTGTCTTCATGTCTGTGTTTAGCTTAATACAGGTTTATGTATAATTTATTATAGCTTATTTTTCTTTTCTCTATGATAACTTTTAATAATTTGAACTTGTCTTTTATATACCAAGTAAAAATACTTGCTTAGAAAAGCATTTTCAGAATGCAGATGGAGCCACCTGGAATATTTGTGATAGTAGAAACTTTCTAAAACATGACTCTTCTTTTTTATTATTGTTTCTTTTTTTTGTTTTTGGTTTTTTTTTTTTTTTCAAGACAGAATTTCTCTGTGTAGTTTTGGTGCCTGTCCTGTATCTCACTCTGTAGACCAGGCTGGCCTCGAACTCACAGAGATCCGCCTGCCTCTGCCTCCCGAGTGCTAGGATTAAAGGCGTGTGCCGCCACCACCCGGCTATGACTCTTCATTTTAATCACTTACGATGTTACTAAATGAAGCCTTACTAACTACACAGGCTGGAAGCGTAATTCCCTGACCCCAAGGCCGACTATGTTTCCTTGTCCTGGCTGTGAGCATGATGTGGATCTTGGAGAGCGAGGAGTCAGCGGTCTGTTTCGAAATTTCACTTTGGAAACGATTGTCGAGAGATACCGGCAGGCCGCCAGGGCCGCCACAGCCATTATGTGTGACCTGTGTAAACCACCACCCCAGGAGTCTACGAAGAGCTGCATGGACTGTAGTGCAAGCTACTGCAACGAATGCTTCAAAATTTATCATCCTTGGGGGACTGTCAAAGCCCAGCATGAGTATGTGGGTCCCACCACTAATTTCAGACCCAAGGTAAGTTAGGGTACCAGACATCGTGGGAGAAATTGCCAGGAGTCTAGAGACGGGAAGGTTTGATTGGATAACACGATTGTGATATTTTTAGTTAGCTAAAACTTTACTGTAGGTTAAGAATAACTTTAAAGTGTGAGACATTGTGCTTATATAATCTGTTAGGTGGACTTTACATTTCTCAAATATTCTGGGTAGTTTGTTTAATAAGTCTCACAAGAACTTCATGTTCTATGGTCTATGATGAGTAAAAACATTTGTGTGTCACCACCACCCAGAATGGATACTTATAAAGTTGTATTTTTTTGTTTTTTGTTTTTTGGATTGAGACAGGGTTTCTGTGTAGGCTTGGCTGTTTTTGAAACTCTCTCTGTAGAATAGGTTGCCCTGGAACTCACAGAGATCCACCTGCCTCTGCCTCCCAAGTGCTGGGATTAAAGGTGTGCACCCTCACCACCTAGCATAAAGCTGGCCTCGAACTCACAAAGATCCACCTGGCTCTGCCTCCCGAGTGCTGGGATTAAAGGCGTGTGCCACCACTGCCCTGCCCTTCTTTGTAAATTTAGTAACTCAAGTATGAATAGTGCCAGTTACTAAATATAGCAGTATTCTTAATTATAAAGCCTTTAATTTGTAATAATTTCATATGTAAATCTTAAACACTATTTGGAACTGGAGAGATGGCTCAATTGTTAAGAATGCCTACTATTTTTCTTTAATTTATTTTTTTTACTTCTATATGTATTGGTGTTTGACCTGCATATTTTTGTGAGTGCAGAACTTGAGTTACAGACAGTTGAGAGCTGTCATGTGGGTGCTGGGAATTGAACCCCGGTCCTCCAATAGAGCAGCCAGTGCTCTTACCCGCTGAGCCATCTCTCCAGCCCCTGGCCCGGAGGACCCAGGGTTGGTTCCCACCACCCACGTGAAGTTGCTCACAGCCAGCAGTAGTTGCAGCTCTGGGGATCCAGTTCTCTCCTCTGTCTTCCTGATGTGAACACTAATGTTCACATACCCAACACAGATGCAGACATGCCCATAATTTAAAATAAAATCTAAAATCTTAGAGAAGTCATTACACAATATCACGGAACATTTCCTACATAACACGGGTCTGAAAGATGAAAACAAAGGTATTTCTTTGTCCCTACATTCTGAAAGACTCTTTTTTTCTCAAAACTGTTAGTCTCATGACATTTATCAACCTTTGAATTCCCTGTTATGATGTTTGTCTCACCTGAACTGCTCAAGGCCATTGATTTTTAAAAATGTATGACTTTTTTAGTGTTTTGTCTACAAGGTTGCATTCATACTATTCTATCATGAAAGGACACATGATAATGAGCTACACCAGAGCTGGGGTCTTATAAGTGTTTCTTAGGATTTGGAATGCAAACCAGTCATAAAATACTGCTGAGGAAACCACAGAAGTAGGAAAAATAGTTCTCTTCAAGCATTTGTGTCAGCCAGTATAGTGTAGCGCCTCAAAGCTGTCCCTTTTGCTAGAGAATATTCACCCACAACTGAACTTGTTGTACCCCTTCCTATGGAAAGCTCAAGTTTTCCTACTTTAAAAAGTACGCATTCTTTTGAGAATTAGGACATTCTGAAACATTTTAAGTTTTTTCCACTTTTGTCCCCCTGAAGATATAGTATAAACTTTGCATATTGGTCTTTTCCCCCCTAATATTTCAGACCAGTTAAAGTTGCCTATCATCCCGTCTCTTGAAACTATGAACAACTATTTGATTTCATCAGCATACTACCTAAATGTTTGTTTGTGAATGGAAACAGTGTTTTATGTACAATTTCAGATGCATCTATGATGCTAGTTCATAGAGTAAGTCCAAATGTGGTGTTTCCTTGGGAGATGCTGCTGGGCAGTGAGTGTGTGGTTTGTGGAGCTGGCCTGCTGGGTGCTTACATCACAAAGCCCTCCAGAGGTCTCTTGGCAACAGGCTTGTGTGGGGAGTCAGGCCAGAGATTCTCTGAAGGTTTTCTGATACCTTACAGAGATGTTCAGTAAGAAGTGCCGAATGTGTGTGGTGAGAGGACCTCTGTAGCCTGTTTAAGCATTCTCTCTACTCGAGTCCTGTTGGAATGAATGTTCTTCTCACCAAGTTTAGGGGAAATAACATCTATGTATTAATGGTTTGAACCCAACGATTTAAAAATGGTAATTCTAAAGTTTTCATGTGACATATTTTTATTTTTTATACTTTTATTCACCTATATGGCTCTTGATATTATATAGCAAATATTTGTGCTGGGGGACTGAGGTTATGTGAAACCTAGATCTTTAACTGTCCGTATGCTTTTATTCAATAGATTTTAATGTGCCCTGAACACGAGACAGAGAGGATAAACATGTACTGTGAACTGTGCAGAAGGCCGGTTTGCCACCTCTGTAAGTTGGGTGGGAATCATTCCAACCACCGAGTGACCACCATGAGCAGTGCCTACAAAACCTTAAAGGTATGACTTAGGATATTAGAGTGGGTTCAATTTGTCCATTCTATTTAATGTTTATGGATGTTTTACCTGAAAGTATGTCTGTACCATGTGTGTGGAGTGCCTCAGAGGGCCAGAAGAGGGCACTGGATACCTGGGACTGGAGTTACAGAGGGTTGTCACCCTCACTGTGGGTGCTGGGAATCAAAACCAGGTCTTTTGGAAGAGCAGCCAGTGCTCTTAACTGCTGAACCACTCCTGGAAGTAGGTTTTAATACCTGGTGATTTCATGATTCTTAAGTTTTTATAATGTAGTCTGTTTTACTGAAAGGAGTTAATAGTATGAGGTAAACCTTAATGTGTAATTATTAAAAAGTATGTAATCATAGTATATAAGAGTAAATATATTTATAATATATAAAATTATTTAAATATATAAATATACTACATAAGCTATATGATAACATATAACATATAATATGTTATTATACATAATAAATTTATTACATATATAAAATATATAAATGTGTAAATATAAATAAATATATAATCATTACATAATTCTGTATAATAATTATAAAAAACTCCACATATTTAAAATAATTACAAATTATTTTAAAAAATCTCTAACTTAAGGTTGTTAGTTTTTCTGAGTGTGTTAAAGCCGTGCACAGCTGGTTGGAAGTGTGCGGGAGGAACGTGGGCCACTGGTAGGACCCTCCAGAGAGCGCGGTGTGCGTTACTGCCCTGGGTGCAGAGGTCGAAGGGCTCAGAGCATGCTCAGATCTGGTCCTCAGGGGCAGGGGAGGCAGCGCTGTGGTGCTCGCTTCATTCCGTTCCTTTTGCTGTAAGCGGTCGTCTTACAGGAATTCATTCACCCTCCAGCTTCCCTTTTATTTTATTGCTCCCTTTCTTTAACAGTGTATATGCAGAGTGTGTATGTAGCCGCCCGCATGCATAGTGTCGTATGCCTGTGATGATCATGGACGGTTTGACCACTGTACCTTCTTCTGTTTCTCTGCTCCTTTGCTTGCCTGGTGTCTTAGTTAGGGTTTCTCTTGCTATGGTAAAACACCATGGCCAAAAGCAACTTGAGGAGGCAAGGGTTTGTTTCACCTTAGACTTCCAGATAAACAGTCCATCACTGAAGGAGTCAGGAACTCAAGGAGAGGAAGCTGGAGGCAGGAGCTGCAACAGAAGCCATGGAGGAACCCTGCTTCCCGACTTGCTCAGCCTGTTTTCTTAGCCCCCAGGACCACCTGTCTGAGGATGGCACCACCCACAGTGTGCTGGGCCCTCCCACACCAATCATTAATCAAGAAAACGCCCTCACAGGCTTCCCCACAGTCCAAGCTGGTGGGGGTATCTTCTTCACCGAGGTCCCCTCTTCCTAGATGACTCTAGCTTGTGCCAAGTTGACATGAAACTAGCCAGTTGGAAGTTTTTGATTGGCTATTAGGTATTAGTTATGCCCTGTTTTCAGCTTGGCCTGGCAGAGCAGGGAAGTATTTGGTTTTGGGTTAATCAGCCTGACTTTGGAGGTAAAAACCTTTGATGATTCTTCTCCTTCCCTGATGACTTAGAAGCTCTGGTTTTCAGGGTTGGAAGACTGGAGGGTGGGGAGCGCGTTACTCCCAGCTTGTGTGAACCTTAATCCTCTCTGGAACTTCCTTTGACCTCGGGCATGGTTGACTGGTGTTCAGTCTTGTATAGCTCTCTTCAGGTTTTTCACTTTCTGCTTGTCTCTGTGGTTTTAGGCTTTAGAAACCCCGACTTCCTTTACTCCCAGCTTTATCACTTAATCTCACAGGAGATGCTGAGGTCCATTTGAGTTCTCTGCCTCCAGCCCTAGCAACTGCAGACAACAGGCTAGGCTAGTCAGGCATCTCTTGTTTCCCATCATCTAGGAAATGTCTCTTTAGGATCTGGCGCATAACAAGAGAGATTCCAGATGTTTCAAGTGGGAAGCCAAATCCGTTATTGTCACTTTATCATGCCTCTGTAGTTGGTCAGCTTCACATACATAGCACAATGTATAATTTATCACATGGATAGGAGTTTTGATTTCTAATTGGTTTAATTTCGTGTAATCTGTTCTGGTTTTTGTTACTTGTATCGTCTTTGACACTAGAGTAAAGCGTTGGAAAAACTACCCATGAATCCATGTTTCTTCTCTGCTCTCAGAACCCACAACAATAAATGCAGAAGACATTTTGTTTGTCTGTTTGTTTGTTTGAGACAGGGTCTAGCTGTGTAAACCAGGCTGGCCTCAAATTTGCCGTGATGCTCCTGCCTCCACTTCCCAAGTGGTCATTTACAGGCGTGTATTACCGTGCCTAGGCAGAAGGCTTCGGTGACCTCACATGACGTCAGCAAGCAGGCGCTGGATTCTGTAGCAGCAGATGCGAGCTGGGGATGCTCTAACTTGGTTAGTTCTGCCACGGTTCCGAGTGTGCTCTCAGGCCCCCAGGTGAAGGGCCGGTCCCCAGGGCTGCCTGTGCCTCTCTCTGCCCCCCACTGTACATGCCAGCTGCAAACTCCATGTGGGGTTTATTTATTTTTTTTATTTTTTGCCTTTGATCACATGACTGTAAAAAAGTTTAACTCACTCTTCTTGGGTCTAATTATTTTGTTTGCAAGGCTCACAGAACTCAGGAAAACACAAACAGTAATTTATCATACAGGATATTACAACAGGTGCTGATAAAGAGATGCACAGGATGAGGAATTTGGGAAGGGCACAAGCTGCTATGCCCTCTGGCACTCCATGAGAACCTCCAAGGGCTCTGCTAAATGGAAGTTCTGAACTCTTTCTGAGTTTTTATGGAAGCCTCATCGATAGACACAGTTGACAGTGTGTCATTGACAGTTACTGATCCTCCACTTTGGGCTTCTTGTCCCTGAAAGTAGTGAGGTAGGACTGAATCTTAGCCGTCTAATCATGCCACTGTGTTCTTGGTGACCAGTTCTTACCCTGAAGCCAGCTGCCTCTTGACTCATTAGCTTATATATTTAAAAAAAAATCATTTTAGAAACCAAGGACTTTAGGAGAGGTATGTCAGGAAACTGGATGAAGAACATACACATAATAACATAGCTATCTTTTACATTGTATGTTAATTTCTTTTGTACATAGTTCAGAAAGATATTCCATAATACACTTTCCAATTTATTTACTTTTTAGTAAAAAACTAATTGTCTAGATTTGTCATTTGTTAAGAGTAACAAGTCTTCTTTACACCTGGTTTCAGATTTAAGCTGAAGGGGAATAGCAACATGATACAAAGACACAGTATCATTTCTTATTTGGGGCCAGCTGGGTGTTACAATTAGAGAAATGAACATCATAGCAGGGTAACCTTGCATTTGTCTTGTGTCTGCTGTTTGCTGAATCTGCTGACGTAAACACCAGATTTCTTATCTGTGTTATAGTGTGTATCAGGTTGTTTGTGTTCTGAATTCTGGAAACAGCTTGTGCTTTTGGAGAAACTGGCTTAACCAGTTAATACCTGGATCTGAGAATGATCTGCTCTTAGCAATTTTGTTAGGTGAGGCTAGGATATTTTCCCTCCTGTGACTCGCTTGGCGTCTGTTAATATTGACACTGACATGTGCACGAGCTCAAAGTGGAGCCCCTCTTCCCCACAGCAGGCTGGGGCTGCCTGCTCTTAGCCTCCAGAATGGGGACTCCAGAGAGTCCACAGGGATTCCTATTCGCTGTTTCCTGTCACTCTTTTGGCCCACTAGGCTTTTTGATTTCTGGTGTGTCCTGAAAAGACATATTCACTGCCCATCTCCTAGTCTGGCCATCCCTCAGTCACCAAGCCTCTCCGTTGTTGGGAAGTCCAAGACCTTTCTAGAGCTTTCTCAGCTTCTCTCCTCACTGTACAGTTTTCTTGTTAAGCTTTTGATGTGGCCTATTCCTACTTTAGCTTGATCACTCTACAACCACAGCTACAGAAGTCTGCGAGCATGTCACTGAAGGAGGTTTCCTGGGGAATTTTTGATAGTTTCCCATTTATTATTTCCATAGATTTCTAAGGACATCTTGTCAGACAGCCTGTTAACAGTGAGAACTTATAATGCAAACATCCCTGCAAGCAATCCCCACTGCATAGGGAAGTACTTGGGGATAGCATTTGTATCTTAGGGAGTTTGAGACACAGTTTATGCCTTTTGGGGGGGGGGTAGCTTGTGGTGAACATTGTTGTCATAGTCTCTGAAGTAGATTAGTGCTCATCGTTATTGTAAGTGCTGGTAGCGAAGGTCTTTCCCAACATGGTGATGCATACGGCTTGCTTGTAAAATGCCCCTACAGGCTCATGTGTTTGAACATTCGTTCCCCGGTTTGGAAGGTTGTAGAACCTTTAGAAGACGAGGTTGAACTAGAGGAAGTGTGGGGCCTCACAATCATAGCCCTTGTGGGTTCCAGCAGAGCTCTTTACTCTGTTCCCATCAACACAGTGCCAGGCTCCTGCTGCCACAGCCCTGAATGCCCTGGCTGCCCTGGCTGCCCTGGCTGCTGCGCCCTTACCTGCGGTGATGAACTTGTTCTATTCAGATTTTATTCTGAACATCTCTGGAGTTGATATCACCTTTAAACTTGGCATCACCTGAGCACGGGGCCATGCTAGTTATACATTATTCTCCTAGACTGCTTGCATGAAAGATACTTTGACACAGTTGTTGAATGACCTTTCCTTTGTTTTGTTTACTAGTGTTTCTTTGGTACCTTTTATTGGAGATGTGTGATGTATAGAGGGAAAAAATGGTTCTCAAACTTGGCTGGGGATTAGCCTCTCATTGGTACAGTTACAGAGGCCGGCCTTGTCCTACTTCAAGGGGTCTTAGCTTTGTTGCGCGCCTTTTCTTGGGGAGATGTGAACAAGCATCTTCTTACCCCAGACCCAGCGGAGTCCAACTAGGTGAATTAGTGAGTCTATTGTGGTTACAGGTGGCTCTCGGGCAGCTGTACCACTAAAAAGCCCACCCCAGCTGCCTCCCTGAGGCAACCCAAACTCTGTTTGGGTTGCAGGCAGCTTGGCCAGTGGGAGAGTTATGGCTTGTGTAACTTGGGAGTGTGGCCTCTGATGAGTTTCTAAAGCACTCAAGTCTAGATTTATTTAAACCTTCCTGCCCTGCTAGGTGAACTTCTTGCAGGCTGGAGCCTTGACTCTCACATTTTACCTGTTACTAATGCCTAGTGTCAATACCTAGTGCTTACAGTTTTTGGAAGCTTATGAACAGACATTCTGACTATTAAGACACCTCCAGTCCTTAAAAATAGATTGCCAGGGTCTGGCCAGGAGCCAGAGAAGACTGGCGCTACTTGGATAAAGGCTAGGACTGGCCAGAGACTTTGAGTGTTAACAGTCCTGTGAGTGACTGATGATGCCTTGGTCCATATTTCTCAATTCCACCTTCTGTTCTTCTCTAATGACCACTGGGTCACCCCGTTTATCTTAGGCTCTCTACGTTTAGTTCAAGCTGTTTTAGAATACCTACATCAGTTTCAGTGGCTGAATGCAGCTCTGTCACTGTAGTTAGGAAAAACAGTGGTGCCGCTGCTCATACTTGTGGTCCCAGTGTGGGCTCATAGGGACAGTGCTAGACTTGTCATTCGGCTTGCAGTGTGGTGTTAAACACCCCCTACCCTGGACAGTGGTTATGTTATTCAATTGTGACTAGGTCCCTGCTTCAGCCATTGACTGTGTAGTATTTGTACCTCATGAACTTTGGGTTCCTTAGATGGGTAAAGTGCTAAGTCAAAACAAAAGACTTTCTGTCTCCTTGTAGCAGTAATATCTTGTAAAGTCCTATTTTCTTTCTGTCCCTGTCTCTGTGTCTCTGTCTCTCTCAAGGATTTAATGGAGCCCGGGCCTTGCTCCTGACCCTGTCGCCTCTATCTCCCAAGTGCTAGGATTTCAGGGTTGTATAACTTTGGCTCTTGTTTTTAATTGACTGACTGATTGGTTGATGCAGGTGATGGGGATTAAATCTAGGGCCTTGCACATACTTGTTGGGCAAGTGCTCTCCCCCTGAGCCTGAGAAGTAAGTCTCCCATCTCTTCATCTTCCTCTTTTTTCACCTTACTCTACATGAGAGGGAAAGAGGATGTGTGCAGAAATAGACATGACTGGCTCGGCAGGGCGCATCTCAGGCTCAGAAGCCACCAGATACAGTAAACCCCCTGGGAGGGCTCCCTGGAGAAACAGGAAGCCGCTGGCTGGAAAGGAACAAGACTTCTGGACACAAAAGACAGAGTGGGTTGAGGATCTAGCTGCTGTCTCTCTTCCTGCCCACATTTACATTTCAGGCGCTCAGCAGTCAGCAGGATCCTGGCATGTTCTCTTCCTGGGAGGGATTTCCTGGGTCTTCTCACTTTTCATTTGGACTCTAATACATTTTACCCACTGTGACTTGGTAGTCCATGGTGCTCTGAAGAGGCTTTAAAAATGTACTTCAGATTCATTTTAGACCAAGAGATTTTACCAAACTCTACAATGTAATTTCTATGAGGAATTATAGTGTTCAGAATAGCTAATTTACAAACAAATTACTCAAAAATCTGTTTTCACTTATGTATAGTGAATCAATAGCGAGGCTGGGATGAGCTGGGATTATTTTGGACTAGTCCTTGGTGTTTTTCCTGCCGTGTGTGTGTGTGTGTGTGTGTGTGTGTGTGTGTGTGTGTGTGTAAATTGTGAAATGTAATGGAAGGCTAGACTATTTGAGCTGCCAACTCAATTTGCTTAGAAGCTTCAGAAGCAAGAATTCTGAGAGTGGTAATTAAACACAAATGTACTACTTGAGCATTTGGAATTTTTGGCTGAGTAGCACGGTTCTCTCTTTCTCCAGCCTTAATTCAATCTCTCCTATGACCTTGGGCCTATACGCTTCAGGCCAGCAAATATTTACCTCAAGGTAATTACTATAGCCGATTTTGCTGTTCCTTCATCAGGAAGGATCAAGGGTGGATACTGTGTAATTTGCAAAATTGCATGAAGTCTTTGTTGATTTGTTTATGTACTTGTATCTGTGTGTTTCCACAGGAGAAGCTTTCAAAGGACATTGATTTCCTTATTGGTAAGGAAGGCCAAGTGAAGAGTCAGATTTCTGAACTCAACTTGTTAATGAAAGAAACAGAGGTAAGTTACAAAGTGGTCAGCGTAGTTTTTCATTTACCTGTCCAGACGATAGCTTATTTGTTCATAATCCTGAATGTGTTCCCCGAGCTGGGGATTGTGTGACCTCACACCTCTGCTTTCCTAGAACTTGTGGAAACATATGCAGCATAGACTCCTGTGTGCTCAGTGCCCAGGTGTCATTGGGATGTGATAGTAACAAGGGCCCAGAAGTCGTAAGGATAGGGTAGCTTTCAACAGTGACCTGCGTGCGAACAAATGACAGATAGCCTTTGGAAAGTTACTGTATGTGACAGGCCCAGGGTTACCTATCATTCCAGATACTGCTGAATACATGTTCTGCTTTGCTTGCTCACATGGAAATGAGTGGTAGCGCTTGCCTTGTTTGTAATAGCCACAAGGTCCATCAACAGAGGAGCACATCAGAGATCCCAATGTCCATCAACAGAGGAGTGCATATAGCAATGAGACTTTTGGAGCTACAAGTACACATAGCTTAGGTATATCCTGCTGTAATGCTGTGATGCTGTAATGACATTTATAGAAAGTATCCAGACCAGGATGGGCGATGGGTTAGCAATGGTTGAGAGCACTGGCTGGTGACTGGCCTTCTGGAGAACTCAGGTTCAATTCTCAACTCCCCCATGGTGGTTCACAACCTCTGTAACTCCATTTCTAGGGGATCCAATGCCCTTTTCTTTTCTCTTTTTTTTCTTTTTTGAGACAGGGTTTCTTTGTGTAGCTTTTGTGCCTTTCCTGGAACTTACTCTGTAGACCAGGCTGGCCTCGAACTCACAGAGATCCGCCTGCCTCTGTCTCCCAAGTGCTGGGATTAAAGGCATGTGCCACCACTACCCGGCTCCAAATGCCCTTTTCTAACCTCCATGTGCACCAGGCATCTACACAGTGCACAGACATATATGCAAGCAAAACACTCATGTACATTAAATAAATATTTTTTAAGTAGCTGAACAGTGAAACCAGATTATATCTTAAAATTTCATGAAGTGATCCTTGAGGAGGGTGAATCAGTGCTGTAGAGCTTATGAGGGTGGCTTCTGGTGTACTAGTAATGTTCTTTTACCTGAATGTCCTGCTGGTTGGCTGTTTATTTAATGAGTCCTCACCTTGACACTTACGTGCATTATATTCTACTTCATTTAAAAAAAAAATAGGGGAAGTAAGCTAGCATTCTGGTACTTGGAAGATGGAAGCAGAGAGATCATGAGTTCAAGGCCAGCCTTGGTTACATAAAAATTAAAGAACTGCATAAGAGTGTCTTAAAAAGGGGGGCAGGCTAGATGACCCATTGGGTAAAGGTACTTGCTGCCAATCCTGATTTACCCAAGTGTAATTTCTGGTTAAGGGGGAGAATCAACTCTCTTGAGTTCTCCGACCTACACACATAAACACACACACACACACACACAGAGAGAGAGAGAGAGAGAGAGAGAGAGAGAGAGAGAGAGAGAGAGAGAGGAGAGACAGGAGAGACAG